TAATTTGATGGATGCCATGTATGTACAATTTGCAATAAGGAATTTAATTCCGGATTTTAGGCAAAATAAGAGATAGATATCTAGTTTATTTTCGAACTCTTACATTATTAAGCTTGATAAATATTTTATCTCTTGTGGTACATGGATGCATGGCCTTGTTATTGTTAATGTCTCTCCTGAACTGAATAATATTAGTCTACCTTATAAGAGAAAATGTTCTTCAAAATTGAGTAAAACTTATCTGTGCACTTGCATCTTAAGTCATAATTACCTGGATAAAATTTCGGTTGGTCAATGATGAACCTTGAGGTTCATTGAAAGTATAGGCACTACCAACTTATAGACCCTATTTAGAAGGAAATATGATTAAGAGATATTTCTGCTCCAAAGGAAAGAGAGCTGGTGATAAGTTAGAACTAATTTATTTTTGATTGTGTTATCTAATGAACACATAGGTAAGAGGTGGTTTTGAGTATTTTTATGATATTCATAAATGATTACTCAAACTATGAATATATTTATTTGATGCACCATAAGTCTGAATGCTTTGAATAATTTCAGAATTTTAAAGCTTAATATGGAGAAGCACCATGAAAATATATTAAATTACTACGATCTGATCGTAGTAATTTAATAGCACTTCTCTACAAAGTTCATTAGTTACTTATCAAAATAGAAGATTATATCTCAATTGTCCATACCAGATACTCCATAATAGAGCGGTGTAGTAGAGAAAAGAAATAGGACTCTTATGGAGATGTTTAGATTAATGGTGAGTTATTCCGATTTATTTCTTTTTCGTTATGGATATGCCTTAGAAACTACAATTATATTCTAATTTTAGTTCTTTCTAAGTCAGTATCTTGGACCCCATAGAACTGTGGACTTAACATAAGTCAGGTATGCGGCAAGTTCGGATATGGAACTGTCCAATACATATACTGAAAGGGAAAACGGATAAAATGAAATCAAGGACGAATGTATGCGCGTTTATTGGATATCCAAAGGAACGAAAGGAGGTTTATTTTATTTTCTTAAAGGAAAGAAGGTAATTTCTAGCACAAATACAGGAACTATAACAGGATTATTTAGTAAACTATGTTCTTAGATGTAAACTAGTTTTACAGGAACTAAGCAAAGAAATAATTTGTGAATCATCTAAAATTCAGGTGCTCAAGAACATATAACTTTATATGTCGGAATTGACGTTCCATTGCATTTAAGTATTAGGAGAAACGTTAATAGACAAAATTTACTACCTTCAAGTAGTGGGAGTAATATTGAGCAGAGAACACTATAAAAGAAATCATTAATATTTTAATACCGCAAGGTAATGAAGATGATATCAGTAATACTTCGTCGTAGTGGGAGACGAGTAAGAAAAATCATAGTTTGGTATGTACTCTTGGGAGAGTTTCATAACAAAGATCCCTGAAGAGCTTAATACCAAACTAGTTAGTTACGACAAAGCACTACTAGACAAAGATTGCATTTGAAAATAACTTGGCAAGTTCCTTGTAGCCAAAGCTTATTGGCAGAGACTTTTAATAGTCTTGCAAAAGGATAGTTGTGAAAGTTATAGATGCATGGTTATGAGTCTAAGTGGGAGATTATAGGGTATATACTATTAACCATGCATTTAGATATAGTATATTCTAATAATTGTCATGGTTAAAAGTGTGAGTGGGAGATTGTTGTGATATATACTATTAACCATGGATTTTGGTTTGGATATAGTATTTATTATGGAACAATTGTTTATTCAATTTTAATAAAGTTTTAAATAGATCATATATTCGTTTGTGTCCTTTACTTATATAGTAGATGATTTAGTGTATAGAGTTTAGCTTATACACGGAAGATTAAATTATCGGTTCTTATAAGTATAAAGATCATGTTCACAATCTACTGATGGAATTGGACAAACCATCTGGAATGATTGTAGCACAAGATTAAATATAATTTATCTTGATTATGAGAATGGTTTAATTCTGACTTCTTGTGCTAGTACATTTTGTATGTATTGAATGAACCAAGTAGAGATAAGTATTTTATACTGACTTAATAAAATAAACTCTCTAACCATTAAATGTACTTATACTCTTAATCTTGATATAATTATTATTAGTTGTGTATATTATTATTGTTTAGATTTATTAAAAGGCGAGGTCCTTTCGTGGGTCAATATGCCTGGTAAATTGGATAATAATAATGTACATTGGCGAAGTAATAGTTAGTTGATAGAATCCATATCTCGGTCTAGAGATTGATGATACACCTTTATGAAAACTTATAAGTTTTCATGTGTAAACCATGCGGGTGGATTTTATATCCGTCACATGAAATAAGTTAAGCGAAAGTCCAAAGGAAATAATCAATGAATTAAATTGTTAGCAATTTAATTTATTTGATTAGTATCTGAATATTAACATGGGGAGTTAAATAAGGTTTAATGGAAGAATTTCGAAATTGAACTGAGGAGTGCAGTTATGAATTTTTAGTGGAATAATTCGTAATTTATTATGGTAGTATTAATTCGGATATTTCGAATTAAGTCCATAATAGGAAGCCTCGCTAATTAAATATTATGGTCCTGCTGTGCCCGAATAATTAAGAATTAAATAAAATTATATTTCTTGGTGGAAAAGGAAGACCCTACAGGTTTAGGAAAATGTTTTAAACCCTAAAACCTGTGGCTATATAAAGGGGTCTTATTCCATAAGGAGGCTATGGGTTTTACTACACGGTTTTCCTTGAAGAAATTCGCCCACACGAATTTCGCTAATTTCGGGCATTATTCGGGTCACACAGCAGAAGACTGTGGAACTGGAGGACGGGCTCGTGGACGATTTCGCTCTTACTTGAAAGCTCTTTTCGCGATCACAGTCACGCTTCAAGAGATAAGTATCGATTTTATGTTCGATTAAAATCTGTGATTATGTGTTGTTTATATTACATGCAAGTGATCCTGGCTATTTACTTCCGCTGTTTATACCTGTTTCCCATCAGCTTTGTCCCCAGTAATGCCAAAATAAAGTGAAAATACCTTTGAAGAAGTGAAGAAAAGAAGTTGACTAAGGATAATGTATAATAATTAGGGAGTTCGGAAGCTCGATCGAATATCGAGCTCGATTTTACCCGAATACAATACTACTTGAAACTTGTTCCAGTTAGGCACTTCTTGCTGAGTTGGCACATAGAGCGAGTTTTGCCAATTTAGACGTGTGAAGAGCAAAAAAAAATAGATTTTTTGTTTTTTCCCCTATTTATTTCCTTCTTCTTCTTCTTTTTGCTCTCCACCACCATTTCCACCATTGTCTCCTCCACTTTTACCATTATTGTGCCTCCACCATTGATTTAGCTTGAAAGTTTGAACAACAATTGTCTGTGTTGATTGAAACTAAAGTGAGATCATGTTCTTCATTTGAAATCGAAACATCATTAATGGGGTCTTTAGAAAGCTTGAAGGTTTAAAATGGGTTACTTGATTTGATAAAAATTTGAGAAATTAATGTTGGGGTTGTCTTCGGGTCGTCGTGGGGAATCTTTAACTGAAGTTATAACAAATTTGGAGGAGTTTCTCTTAAAATTTTGGATTAAAATCATGGTCGGAACAAAAATACACGTGAAGATCTGATTTCTAGAACACCGATGTGTCCTTTTAAAAAAAAATAATGTTATCCTTTTCTGATTGGGTGTAAATTAAGATTTACTTTTCTTTCTAGAATGTAATTTTTATTTTATTTATTAAATAGATTTAACATAGTTTTTCCTTTTTTTAACTCAAAATGATATATGTCCTCATTTTATTCGTCATTTGTCACGTCAGCAGCAAGTATATTGCACACACTTTGTAAGTTTCGCTAATTGTCAAAACAATGTCTAATTGGAATAAAGTTCGGGTAGTTTAAATAAAAAAATTGTGCCAACTCTAAGTATGCTCAGCCATTTTAAAAAAGAGAAATTTTTTACACATAAAAAATATTCTTAAATCATGTATGGCTTTTATGATTATACGAAGTATATATATTAATGATAAAATAAAAACTTAAAATTAAATTTTTTTTCTAAATTTGAATATGTTTTTTAACAACTAAAAAGAAATTAGTGCTATATAAAATAGAACGATAAGAAAATTGGTCTCCAGTATCTACCAGATTACTAGCTAGTAATATTTTCATTTGCTTAATGCTTTCTTTGTTTCCAAATATTGAACGTGTTAAGTTAATCAACAACTTCGGATATTATTCTTTCTTTGCATTTTTATAAAAAATTGCGAAGCAAAGTAGAGTAGAGCAGCAAAACGACCGATTCCTATCACGGTGATAGCAGAATAACCGAAGTTATTTAGAAACAGAGAACTAAAAGCAAGAAAGACTAGATTTTACCAAAATGGGCCGATGCTACTGCAAATGGAGAAATGTCAAAGTAATTGCCAAGTGCATTGTCGCAACAAATAGAAGAACAAGATGTAGGGCGATATTTCAAGAAGGAATGCCGAGTCAAGCTCAAATTTGACATCAATCTCAGGTTTTACACCCGTTTGATCGATGTTGATACATGCTTTAATATGAAAAAATCTAGTTATGGTTGAAAACTCAACGATGATGAAGCAATAATTTTCCAGCCTCTTTTCTTCTGCTCTTTTGCAACCCCAATATAATCTTAACAAATATTGGAGGGTTTTACCTCCTAATTATTATCATGCATGTTTTCCTTTATGCTCCTTTTGGCAATTATTGTCATAGTACCTGAGACATACTTTCATTGTCAATCCATTTTCATCAACAAAAAAACAAATCATTGTCAGTTTTCTCACCATAATAAATATGAATGTTATTTTTACTTTAATTAAGAGCTGGTATGGTCCATTGAATATTTGACTACCTACCACCACTCATACTCATCTTCTCCACACATGAATGCCGTTAGGTGCTTATTTATTCATTGTGGTTATTGATATGTTGCATAATCAATAATGTTATTCAGCTACCCTTCCATGGAACAACTGTAAATTAAATTACTAAAAATTAACCAACACATACCAGTATACAGCAGTACTAATACCTATCAGTCCTATCATGATACACATTTAAACGATTCTACTGCTTTAATTTCAACTTGATTTATATGTACATATGCAAAAAAGATTAAATGCAAATATGATTAAACTCGTGCTGAATTCACTAACTTTGAATCCTAAATTCACTTGTTGCGAAGAATCATCATAAACCAAGAAGTCGACCACCGATTTCATCAAGACCTTGGCTTTCTCGGAGGTTTGGTTATATAAATGGAAGACATGATCCTCCCCTTCTATCTCCTTTATTCCAACTTCACCTTTCCACCCACTTTTCTTCAGCGTTTCGTAATAAGTCCAAGCCCTGTCTCTCAAAAAATCTTTGCCTGCAGTACAAACTAAAATCTTGGAGCAATTCAACTTCGACAGCAACCTAGGATGAGCTGCTGGATTGAATCTTGGATCATAAATCCCAGTGGTTTTTGGGCATAAATACGTCCAAAGTGTATCGGGCTTATCGTTGCCAAAATAGGGATCAACAAGTATCATTCCAACTATGGAAGGGAGAAAATGACTTTCCTCACTTGCCCGATCCATCATGTTATGAGCAATATTAGCCCCAGCGCTATCACCGGCCAGAAAAACTCGTGAAAAATCGGCATGTTCTTTGAGCCAAGGCTCTGTCCCTTGCTCAACCCATTTCATTACAGCCCAAGAATCATCATAACACGCTGGGATTGGGTGCTCTGGTGCTAATCTGTAATCAATGGATACAGCAACTGCATTACTCTCAGCTGTTAGTTTGTGAAGGTAGCTATCATACATGGGAGAAGAAGCTGACCCAGTGCAAAATCCGCCCCCGTGAATGTAAATAAGCAGAGGAAATTTCTGGTTTTTTCCACTGATTTTGGGAAGGTAAAGACGCGCTGATACGTTCTGTTCAGGCAAAATGGTTACATCTTTGGATTGGACCCCTGTTTCGGGATTGTACGATGGAGGCACAAACTTGGCCGCTTGATACCTGTGAATAGTTCCATCAGTATCAACCTTAAAAAAGGGATAGAAGTTCTGAGCTTTCCCCGCAGTCGAACTGATATATAGGCAAATAATCAGAAATGGTAAAGGAAAACGAAGATGAGTCAAATTTTGTGCCATTGTGTTATTAAAGGAGACGAGTGGACGGGCATTCCAACTGCAGTAGATTTTATTGAACTTGTTTGTGACCCGAGTACTGAGGTGTGGTGGAATAATCGCGCGGCAGATTTGGTACCACATATCATTAATGAAAAAAATGAAATATCTAAATTAAAGAATTTTGAAATATTATAACAATGTCTTTTTAGAAACATGTCATATAAAATGGAATGGCTATTGATAAAGGTTCCCAATTGTTGAATGAGATAGGGTGTACATGGATCGGGTTGGTTCGGATTTTTTTAAAATCAAACCAAACCAATTATATCGGTTTGGATTGGTTCGGTTTTGTCGGATTTTTTGTTACATGAATATTATTTCAATCTTGCATTATTAAAGTTATAGATAAAATTTTGATAAGTGAATATATGCTTACTAAAAATTAATAAAAAAATAACAAACATATGATCTATTAAAGTGATCTTATGGGAGAATTTTTCTTAGTAACACATAATAGTTTATTTTTTTAGTCGTCTACCAATAATATTTGGTTGATGTACGCTTTCAGGGTTACTCTAGCGTTGAACACCCTCCACTTCCAACCAAGAGATTGTGAGTTCGAGTCACCCCAAAAGTAAGGTGAGGAGTTCTTGGAGGCAGGGAGCCGATGATCTATCGGAAACAGCCTCTCTACCCCAGGGTAGGGGTAAGGTCTGCGTACACACTACCCTCCCCAAACCCCACTAGTTGGATTATACTGGGTTGTTGTTGTACGCTTTCAGGGTTAACCAAATATAATAATTAAACATAAAAATCAATATGATACCTAAATAATGATATGTTATATGTAATTTTAGATTATCGAAATGCCACTTCAAATTCGAAAAACATATAATAAATCTTGACATATGAATATGAAAGAACAAAGAGATGATTGACGCATTTCAATAATACATAATAAGAAAGTGATACAATCTATTATTTAAAGTAAATAAAAATGAATGCACTTTATAGTTCTATTAAATATTATGTCCCGTGAGAGGATCTCAAATATTTCTAGATATATTTTAATTAAAATTATCTATTTATATGTCGGTTTGGTTTGTTTTTTTTTACTTAATACCAAATCAAATCAAACCAAACCTAGTCGAGTTTTTTAATCGATTTGATTTGACTTTTCGGTTTGGTTCGGTTTTTCGGTTGGATTTGTACGCTAGCCTAACCTTCTGCGTTAATTTCCTCTTTTCTGCTTTAGAGTTTAGTCGCATGCTCTTCACTAGATCTGAGACTTTTCTTATTAAAAATTTGAATAAATTGCACCTTTATCTAAGAAGATTTGTTTAACATATCAAGTATTCCTTTTAATAGTAATTCTTACACATTGTAGTTTGTATTGTTAATGCTGTTGAACTGAAAAGGACAATAAGAATTCAGGAATATATTCTCTTTCACCATTCACCAGTATGTTACTTCATATAGAAAATTAATGATCTATAACACCATTCTACCTTTTTTCTCTTCGACCGATTCAAATATGTTCATCAAAGCTTCTAGCTAATCCCATAATAATCTTCACAATTAATGTAGTGTTCTACTTCCTATTACTCATCGTACATATTTTCCTTTATGCTCTTTTTGACTATTATTTTCATAGTACCTGGGACAGTGGGACATAATCAGTAGAGCTAAGGGGGGTTTAACCGAACCTTGGTCGAAAAATCACAATGTGCAAATAGAGTAAAATTGATCCTTTTTTATTATATGTGAGCTGTAGAATCCTCTTGACATGAAAAACAATTTAAATATAATAGTAAAGGGGGTTCAAATTTTGTTTTTGTCATAGATTCAAATGTCATCCGTGACATAGTAGAATTTTTCTTGAATCCACTTTATAAATTTCTAGTTTCGCCAATCGGACATGATTCAATTCATAAGCATCAATCCATATCTCCTTTTACCATATAATAATAATGGAAGTTATATTTACTTAGTTTAACAGCTGGCATGGAGTAAATATTACTTTCACCACCTACTACTCATACTCATATATTCTCCACACATGAAAGTCGTTAGGTGATTATTTATTTAATGTGGTTGTTGATATGTTGAATAGTGTTAGTGTATCAACTACTGCCACGGACGTCAATGTATCATATATCACTATCCAAGACGTAGCATCACAATTTATCTTTTTCACATTTTCAAAAGTTCTCCCGGCTTTATTTTTTCAAGTGATATCACATTTCTGTTAGTCCCGCCAATATTGCTGTATTTATAAATAATAATTCTGGGAAATATAAGTTATCGTAATGAAACAGTAATTAATTCGAGCCCACTGAATTCACAGTGTTTCCTTAAGGAATTTAATCCCGTCCTAGTACCCAAGGTTATGGATTATTTTCTCCCAGGATAGAACGAATCACACACTGGTGTAGCGGTACTTCAAACCCCAGTGTTTTAGCGAACACAAAGTTCGGTAGCAAATTACACTTACAGTTGCTTTGTTTGAAGTTAAAACAATGCAGAACAAAGGAGTAGAAACTCAGAAAATCGTATGGAAATGCTGAGAGGAAGGAGTGCAATGTATAGCCAAAGTTGAGCGTTTTCAGTTTGGTGTGTGTATTTCTTCAACAGCTGCTGCACATATTTATAGCAGTCAGCTTTGAAGATGAACGACCCTCCACCCTCCATGGTGGAGCATGCACTAGCTTGTTTGTGGAGCAAGCACTTGTTAATATTTACTATTAACAAATAAATTTGGTCCAAAAAATTAATCAATCAATCGATCATTTGACCAAATCCGAATCCGAATCCGAAGCCGAAGCCGAGCCGAGCGAGCGAGCGATGACGNATTAACAAATAAATTTGGTCCAAAAAATTAATCAATCAATCGATCATTTGACCAAATCCGAATCCGAATCCGAAGCCGAAGCCAAAGCCGAAGCCGAGCCGAGCGAGCGACAAGTTCTTTAAGAGCTACAAGAAGAGCAATTATATATATACCCATCAAAAATCTTTTCCTCTTCCAATATGGGACAATGTCTCATTGTCAAGAGGGGAAAACTTAAAATTTTACTAAAAATTTTTATTTTTCCCTCCATTTCCCATTCACCCTCATTTTAAGACCATTTCATCTTAAATAACAAAAATCTCAACAATCCCCCATATGAATGGGGAATGGCTATATCACGGAAGTATGCATGGAAAAACTGTGNACAATACATTTTTGTTTGGATGACTTCCAAGATACCGCTCCTCCACCAATAGTGAATACATATCCACTCATGGACTTAGAATCAGTTGAACCGGTGATCCAATTTGCATCAGAGTATCTCTCAATCACCGCAAGAAATTTACTGTAGTGCAAGTCAAAGTTCTGGGTATGTTCTAAATATCCCAAAACTC